AGCAAGTCCAAGTCTAAGGTTTCTCGACTCTTTGCCAAAATTTGGAAACAAAGAATCTATTTTCTTCCATTGCAAAGAATCAGCTACATGACGAATTTGTCCATCATATTTTCTTTCTTCTGCATGCCATCTAAGATTCTTTGCGTCATCTGCATTGGCGAATAATCTCTTGAACCTTGAAATTATTGGTAGGTACCATACCACTTTCGCAGGAGGACCCTTTTTTACCACCTCATCATCAATTGACTCACCATCTTTCTTTTTGTAGCGTGAAGCCTTACACTTTGGACAATGATTATACTTTTCATACTCTTTTTTGTATAATATGCAATCATTAGGGCATGCGTGTATCTTTTCATACTCCAAACCCATTGGACACAATATTTTCTTCGCCTCGTAATAACGACTTGGCATTACATTACCTTCTGGAAGCATTTCGGTCAACAATTCAAGCAACTCGGTAAAACTTTTGTCAGTCCACCCATTATTTGCCTTCAGATTAAATAATTTTAACACGGCTGACAGACGTGTAAATTTTTTGCATCCTGGGTACAATGGTTTATCCTTGTCATTGCATATAGTATCATACGTATAACGAATCTTGTCCAATATCACGCATCATGTCTTCTAGACGATCATCCATTTCTACACTAACACCATCTCTTTGAGACACGTTTGACTTTGCTACTACTTCACCGTGCCATATCCATTTTGTATAACTTTGACAAATCCCTACACAAATTAGATGATCCATGATTTCTTTCTTACTACGTTTTGGTTCTTTATTTGCACAACGAATACATGGACAGAGAAAAAGCGTAGGAAGACTTTTGTCAGCATTACTTTCAGCAAACTGTAGAAATTCTATCACTCCATGTTCGTACTCGTCCCTTAATCGATTAGCTCTCATCCAACTACGATCCATAACTATGTTCACACGGAGGAAGGTCTGACGAACGGTGTGTCCGCGGCTGTGCTACTTCACGGAGATTCCGAGATTGCAAGTTGCGCTGCTTCGCGGAGAAAGACAAATAGAATCAAATTTCAATGGCAAGGTGATAACTCTATTAAGTTTGATAGGTTAAAGATAAACAATGTGTTTCTGAGAGGACCATTAATTCTTTTGTCATAGGTTTCTAAATTTTTCACTTCTTTTATTTGGTGAGCATAAAAATAGGAGAAAGGGATTCAAATATAATAGTATAATAATAGTAACAATAATGGAACAAAGTATAAAACACACGAGTAACAAAGTGTAATTTATATGAGGCCAATGATTAAACTATTTTTGGCCAATGATTAAAATATGAGGCCACTTTGTTATTTTCAATTTTATCTTTTCTTCTTCAATTTTAACTCCTTTGATGTTTTAATCGTATTATATATATTTTTTTATTTCTTGTTAGTAATAATTTTTAAATCAGTATATATAAACACTACACTAACACAAAGACACTCTCTTAAATTTTTTTCAAAACCTTGTCCATATGTTTTTCTCAAACCATTGTTCTTAACAAATAAAATATCCAATTATTTTGAAAAAACACATTTCTCATTTAACAATTTATTACTAATTGTTATTATTTTTACACTTTGCACCACTAATACATAACTGATTCTCACTGGTTTCCTTTTCTAATAATTTCAAAACGATCACCATATATTCAATTTTTGTCTCAGAACCTGTAAATACTTAATAATATAATAATCTTCATGTTTCACTCTTCACCATCATGATCATGAAATTTCACACTGCACAAACACTAACATACACCATATTTTCTTGAAACAAGTAGCTTGTTGCATTAGTTAAAGTTACTAAGTTTAGTATCTATAAACATGTATAACTTTATCTTAAGGAAGAACCATAGAAATTTAAACTATCGTATACTAGCCAACTGCATAATATTGATATGTAATGTAACATAGCATAAATGCATAAAAATGCTGAAATTGTAATGAAAAAGAAAATGCAAAAAAGAAAAGAAATAGAATTAGAACGAACCCCATAATGATTTGCAGAATGATTTGCAGAAGACGGGACCGATGAATCGGCGACGAGGAAGCAGTTGAAACGGCGATGTAACAGGCGGCGACGGTGAGCCGTTGAAACGGCGAGGTAACAGGCGGCGACGGTGAGCCGTTGAAACGGTGAGGAATCGGGCGGAATCGGGCGACGACGGTGAGCCCGTGATGGTGTTGGGTGTTGGAGGCGGTATGCGTCGCGGAAGTGGTGTTGGCGGCGACGGTGGAAAAATGGGTCAGAATGGGTCGATAATGGAAAATGTACAGTTTTCGCGAATAAAAGAAAATAGTGTTTATACTTTTTACATCGGTGGAAACTCCCACCGATATAAGGGGTTGGGCTATTACATCGGTGGAAACTCCCACCGATTTAATAGTTTGCTTTTTTTTTTTAATACGTGTTAGGCTATTACATCGGTGGAAACTCCCACTGATTTAATAGTTTGCTTTTTTTTTAACACGTGTTTGTCTATTACATCGGTGGAGAGTCCCAACCGATGTAATAGCTTACCTTTTTTTTTTTTACACACGTTTTTATGAATTTTCAATATAATTTATATATTAATTCAAAGAATCACTTTTTACATCGGTGTTTATTTAAACCGATGTAATAGCTTACTTTTTTTTTACACACGTTTTTATGATTTATCAATATATTTTATATATTAATTCAAGCACATTTTTTACATCGGTTTGTATTTAAACCGATGTAATAGCTTACTTTTTTTTTTACACACGTTTTTATGATTTATCAATATATTTTATATATTAATTCAAGCACATTTTTTACATCGGTTTGTATTTAAACCGATGTAATATATTGCTTATATTTTTTTAACTTTTTTGTCACCTTGTTTCTTATTTACAAAAATGCCACCGTGTTTTTTTTCTGGAAATCTTTTACATCGGTGGATGAGATTGCCCGATGTAATAGGTGACGAAAAAATTTTTTTCCCTTATTTTTTATATCATTGGAAATAAATACCTGATGTAAAAAGTTTGTTAACTGTATTTTTTACATCACCTATTTTGATACCCGATGTAAAAACCTTTTCTCAAATGTCTTTTTTTTAGTAGTGACCCCTTTTCTGTTGTTGTGGTTGTGCTCCTTGGGGAGTACAAAAGACCAGATACCTGAGTAGTGGTTGGAGCTTGTGTTTCTTGATCGAGTCTTAGGAGTCACTCTGATATGTAACACGGGAAAATGGGATTTTTGTTCTGATTTGTTTTGTTTTCATTCGTTATGTATCTTATTTTCGAATTTATGTTGAACCATGATTTTGTAGAGGTTATTACTGCTAAGGCCTTGGAGCCGTTAAAGTGAACCGATTTGTAATTCTGCTGTTTAATTTGATTTTTCTGAGTAATAAATATGAAGTGACTTGATACTTCATGAGATTTTACGGGATGTGACATTCCTACTTGTGTGTACTCTGAATATTCCGCAATTTATTTTGTAATTAATTAATGGGGAAAGTAGGGTGTGACAATTGGTATTAGAGTAGGTCGGTCCGTCCGACCAGGTGTTGTAGTAGAGTCTAACTATATAGTGAATATAATTGTGTGTTTCTCCTAACTTGCATTGCTAATCTTGAACAGTATGGCTGGAAGAAATGATGTTGCTCTTGCTGCTGCGTTATATGATGTCGCGCAGATTGTGCAAAATAACAATCAGAATGCCAGAGATATCGAATTCCGTAATTTGGAAAAGTTCTAGAATAACAAGCCACCTATGTTCGAGGGTACGCATGATCCAGATGGTGTGCATAAATGGTTGAAGGTTATTGAAGAGATCTTTATGAGTCATGGGGTGCACCGAAGCCCAGAAAGTGCAGTTTGATACCTATATGCTGGATGAGGAAGATGAAGACTGACAGGATAATAGCCGCCAAAGGTTGGAAGCTGCAGGTACTCCTATTACCTGGGAAGTGTTCAGGATTGAGTTTTTGGAATGATATTTTTCAGAAGACGTGAGGGACAAAGATGAGATAAAATTCCTAGAATTGAAGCCGAGAAACTCAACAGTTGCATAATATGCTGCTAGGTTCGAGGAACTGGTGAAGTATTTTCCCTATTATAACACTGATACTGATATGAGTTCTAAATGTCTCAAGTTTAAGAACGGGTTACGTCCCGAGATTAAATAACATATCAGTTATCAGAAAGTCAGACATTTTCCTGAGTTGGTGAATAGGTGTAAGATTTATGATGAGGTTAACATGGCTCGAATTGCTCACTATAAAACCCTGAGTGATAGGAAAGATAAGAAGAGGCACATGAGTACGCCTTACAGTGCTCCAGCTGATAAAGGGAAACATAAAGCTGTAGTTGACAAAAAGTCAAGTGGGAGAGGAGTTCCTCCCAATCTTAAAAAGTGTTTTAAATGTGGTGGCATATATCACTGTGCTAATGAATTTCAGAACGATGTGAAAAAATATTTCAAGTACGTGCGACCAGGTCATAAAAATAATTTTTAATAACAGACGCTGGAAATGTTAAAATGATTCAAATAATAAAATAAATGAATTGTACAAATATCGGGATTAAGAATATAATTAAAAAAAAGTTAAATATTTATAAAAACTTTTTTACACCGTATTCCAATTAAATTCTATTATTTATTATTTGAGAAGTTTTAATTATTTTCTAAGTTAACTCGTTTGGTTCATACTTTAGAGGAAAGAAACTCTTATATTATATATAAATATTTTAAATATAAATAAATATAAATATAAACACAAAACAAACTTCAAAGCAAATTCAAACAAAAGAATAAAAAGAAAAGAAAAGAAAATATCTCTCTCTCTCTGGCTCTTCTTTCTCTCTCTCTGGCTCTTCTCTCTCTCTCTCTCTCTTCCACTTCCATGGCGAAACAAACGGAAAACGCAGTGTCACCTGAACATATATCAAACAACACCGCACATTCCCTGTAATTGAAGCAGAATTATCGTTTACCAATTCTTTGAATTCGAACAATGCCTATCTCAAGGTACCACATTCGTAGCGCGCATAGTTTGGCGGATCCGGAGCTGCACCGTGCCGCCGATAAGGATGACTCCGAAGCTATCCTTGAAGCCGTAGCCATGAGCGGACTCGTCGGCTTCTTGCGCCAGCTCGGCGACCTCGCTCAGTCAGTTCTCTCTAACGGCTTTTCTTGTGTTGTTGACTGGTGCTGAATTGTGTTCGTAGTTTCTGTAATTACATTGAATTTTCGAAAAATTAAAATAAAACGATAATTTAGTTTTTCTATATTTGAGTTGTTGAGTTTTTATTTACTTTTCGTTTTTTTTTTCTGTTTGGAAATTTGTTAGTTTGGAGATTCTAATTTGGTGGTTAGGTATGTGGCTAAATTTGAATTTATTTTTTTTCTTAGATATTATTATGAATTTATGATTCAATATTGTAATGTAGAATTGAATGTTGGTAGCTGATTTAGAATATTACTTTTTTTAATTTTATTTTTGTTTTTGTTTAAATTTATTTCGCTTTTTCTTTGTGTCTTCTTCCTTGATTCCTTGATTCCTTTTGTTCTTTGTATGTAGTGACTTTTTCTTTGTATGTAAGCTACTTTTTGGGTGGATAAGAAAAGGAAGAAAATGGACTATTGGTGCATAGATTGGTTCAGAAGATGTTGGATACTTTTTTGTATACTCGGATATTCGATTCGATGATGTGTGAACCACAATTCTGGAACTAAGTTTCAGGACAGATTTAGAAATAGTTATTGGCCGGAAACATGATTTGATTGACGAATTATGCTCACTTTTTTTGTATGATTACGGAAATTATAATTTTTACAATCACAGAAGGAGAAATGAGATTTAAGTAGATTATTTTAAGATGACTAGCATTTCAGATTCTGAAAATTTATGGTTTGGTGGGTACATTGTGACTATTAAGGTTTCAAGTGTCAATCTTAGGATCTGCTATCTACAATCTCTTCATCAACCAGCTAATAGAATTTGAGCCTAGGTGGCTCAATATTCTTGCAAAATTAACTATAATGCATATGTTAGGGATTATGGATTATGTTACCTGCAGTGAGTTTTTAGAAACATAGTTCCAATTTGTAGTCTTCGCATCAACGTTTAACATTTTAAATTACAAGTTTTACAGTCACCAGCTGCTGCTGATAAGTTCTTTGCATTTTTAACGGTGTATCACTTTGATTAGATTTGCTGCTGAGATGTTCCACGGCTTGCATGAAGAAGTAATGGCTACGGCTGAAAGAGGCCACAGTCTTATGTCTCGTGTTCAACAGATTGAGGCTGAAATTCCTCCACTTGAGAAAGCATTTTTGTCACGAACTCATCATTCGTCTTTCTTCACAAATGGAGGTTAACTCATCAGTGGAGTCCTTTTGTTCATTATTTATGTTTGTAATTTGAACTGTAGGTGATAATGGGTCCCATGACAAATTTTGATTTGCTTCTTGCACTACAGGGATTGACTGGTCTCCTAATCTTCGATCTGAACAGAATCTTGTTTCACGTGGAGATTTACCTAGATTTATAATGGATTCATATGAAGAATGCCGTGGTCCACCTAGACTTTTCCTTCTTGACAAGTATGGCGACCAGATTTGAAAAATACGATTTTAGTTTAAATATTATTTAGTTATATTTTATGGATATCTGAAGCTTTTGTTTCCTTTTTGGATAAAAAAGGTTTGATGTGGCTGGTGCCGGGGCATGTCTGAAGCGTTATTCTGATCCATCATTCTTTAAAGCAGAGCCTGCTTCATCTGTAAGTGTAACAGCAACAGTAGAAGCTCACAAGGAAAGGAAAATTCGTAAAGTGAAGGTACTAAAGCACTGATTCTACCACTTGATGACATAATTTTTCTTGAATTGTTTTAAATGACGTAACAAAAACACAATTTGTATGCAATGGAAAATTGAATATTTTCAATTTTAGATATTAAATATGTATAATTTGTATTTCCAGCAAAAGAAAAGGGAATGGCGAAGAGATGGTGAGACCCATGGAGCTCTACTATCACATTCAAAGTGAGTTCCAATAATTTTACTGTGGTGCATAAGCTATGCCTCTGATTTGTCAAATGCAAAAATGTCCTTATAATGGCTAATCAGTTACTCAATCCATTTTCATTATTGCAGACTACATCAGTTGTTTCTTGAGGAGCGTATTGAGAATGCGTGTAGTGATCCTGCTCGTCTTGTGAAACTGAAAAAAAGACAATTTGATGGATCTGCAGTTGAAGCAAAATCTGGGAGAAGTTACATGGAGGAAATTCTGGAAATGACCTCACCTGATCATAAAATGGCGTGTGAAACTTCAATCAATCCACTGCCTGTGAAATTGATGTCTAATGACACTGGTGAAACTGGGATTGAAATACTCGAAATCAATGGCATTTCACCTATGAGAAGGTCTATTGAAAATGGAAACACACATTCTTCTTCAAATGAGCAGGAATTAGAACTCAACTCATGCTCAGAAATAGGCAGGAAGACAAACGGATATCTTGTGAAGGAGCCCGAACAAATCTCTTCTGGTGGGACAGGTGAAGTGTCTTCTAAGCATCTCAAGGTACCTGATGAAACAGAACTAGTGGATGATGATGGACAAAACAAATCTCTTCTGATGAAGACAAATGGATATCTTGTGAAGGAGCCCGAACAAATCTCTCCTGGTGGGATAAGTGAAGTGTCTTCTGAGCATCTCAAGGTACCTGATGAAACAGAACTAGTGGATGATGATGGACAAAACGAAAGAGAAGGCAGCCTAGACTGCTACCGTTCTGATGACGCGGCCAGTGAGGTTGATGATTATATGGATGCATTAGCTACCATAGACTCCGAGTTGGAAATAGACAATGAGTGTGGACCTAAGAAAAGCTTCTTGAATGTTCAAAAGGTAATTGATTCAAATGGTGAAGAAGAACACCAGCTGCAAGCTCCATTTTCAGATTCTCAATCATTTGGAGACTCGTCATTATCTGAGGAAATGAGTTCATTTGAACAAGATAGAAGTGAAGAGAATAATGAAGTGCAAGCTCAGCTGCCAGACTCTCGGTCAGCAGGAACCCCCTGTGCATCAGATGATGATAATCGTTCATTCAGAAAAGGTAGAACTGAAGAACATACTCAACTGCAAGCCCAGTTATCAGATTTTCAATCTATTGGAAATTCCTCACCAGAAACTAAAAACATGCCTTCCAACCAGCTTTCACAAGCTGTTGAATTGCAAAAAAATTATGATGAGTTTGTCACACATGATGATGCACACGATCTTAGGCGAGAAATATCTGATTCTGGACCAGTTTCTTCTGGTTCATGTCCCGTGGATTCAGAATGTTTACTATTGTCTTCAGATCATGGAGCTACAGATACCTCACTAGTGTCCTTACCCACAAGGACTCTATCAGATAACACACCAGATGTTCCTGTTGAACATTTAAGATTAGAAGATGATGAAGACACCATCTACCCAATAAAAGATAATACTCTCCCAGTTGTTGATTTTGACAACAATTCTTTGAACTTGGATGTCTGCAATCCTCATGTCCATTCCCATACTCTGTTACAAGTTTCCAATGATTTAAATTTAGCCCATGAAGGCGAATGTGGTGGTCATTCTGACATCGAAGTGATGCAGGAAGAATCTCTTAATGAGTACTGTTCTGAACTATCAGTTGTTGGAGACATTGGTTCACGAGGGGAGGATCCCATTTGTCTGCCCATGGAATTAGACCTTAATTCGGGCACTAAACTGCAGCTTGACGACTGGGACTTACAATCTAATAATGATGTTAAAGCAATGCAACTTGACTCAGAAGATTTGTTTCCTGTTGTGGAGACTACCATAGAGAATAGCTTTGCAGAGGAACTATTTTCTGAATTTATACACGGAAATCCTCAAGATGAACCAGATTCGTTAGAAGTTAAAACTCTTTATCCTGATCAGCTTTCAAATTTAGAAGAGGTACCAGAGATAATGTCTGGAAATGAAAGAATTGAATCCACCTGCAGTTTGGATCAAGTTGAAGATGATGATCTTGTTAAACATCCACCTCCCCCTAATTACATACTGCAGGATGATGATATCATGGTAAATGATATATTCCCTGTAAAAGTTCTGTCCAAAGATCTGGCTGTATCTGCTATTCCTTCTCTTGATAACGCTGAAACTGATACAAGTATTGTTAATTGTCAAGCTTCAAATTCTATTTTTTCCCCATCAATGAATCCTTCAAATTTACTTGAATCTTTCCCAGCTTCTCCAGATTCCAATAGGATGGAAATGGGATCCAATGAGGTAGAGTTGACAAAATTTTCCACAGACTTGAATGTAGAGAAGAGGGAAAATCAACTGGAACCATTTGCATATATGACATCTCCAGCAAGTAGCCTTACAAATATGGAAGAATCTATTTCTACTTTTGAAGATTCTCACTGGAAAAAGTTGGAAGTTAGTGAGGAAGTTGCAAGCGATTCTTTGACAGAGTTAGCGTCACATTTAGTAGCGGATCAGCTGAAAATTGCTTCTACTGATGAACTGTTGAGTCTGAACAGATCAGATTCTTCTAACTTTAGTATATGTAATAATTTTCAATGTCCATTGCTTAAGGAGAAAAGCCATGATGGTTCTTCTCTCAGTGATATGAAAATGGTGACCCAATGCTCAGAGCTAGATTCTCAGGATTCAGAATCTACAACTGTTTGCAAGAATGGTCTACAGAACAGTAAAGATAGTTTCTCACCATCTTCCTATAATCAACCGGAGCCTGAAACCCATTTAGAGTGGACCTTAAAACCACAAGCTGTGCAGCAAGATGTGAGTTTTCTTCTCAAAAATGAAGAAAACTGCACCTCTTCAAAATATGAACCTCAGCTGATGCTGATATCAAATCAGTTGGAGCGAGAAAGAATAAGTTGTGTTGCTTCAGAGTTTTCCGCTGAAGTCCGTCTAGAGGAATCATCACATGGTTCCGCATCAAAGTCATCTGATCAGAAGATTAACCCAACAAAACATTTCTCGGATCCATTGAAACCTCTACTTCCTAATCCTTTTCCCAAGGCAACCAAAATAAATCTCAAGGAAACGCCGCCTATGCCCCCTCTACCACCTATGCAGTGGATAATGAGCAGGGTTCAAAATGCTTCCCTAGTCTCACAGACAGAAGAAATAGGTGTAAGTCAAGTATTATTTCAACCAGTACAGCCAGTTAAATCTGATTATAACTCTCAATTTGACTTATCAACTTCTGAAAGAGTAACCTTGCCATATCAGAATCCTTTTTTGCCTGCTGTGGCTGTGGAGAGTAATAAAAGCCTACACTCTTCTGGGTTATCAGTAAGTATTTCAGAGCATCCTGTTGCTATTCCTTTGCAACTTCCTGTGATGGTAAATGAAGCAAATGGTCAGCATAATTACCAAGTTCTGGAGAGAAGTCAAACTCACAACCCTTTCTTAGCATTACCCATGCTATCTTATGGTTGGCTGCCACATGGAAGTGTCGTAGCTTCAGAGGGAGAAAGCATCTTGAAATCAAATCCATGCCCACCAATACATCCCACTGAATGTGCTGTTTATGAGGCTGATCCCAGCTACCTACAAGAAAAGCTGCCTCAGTTCAAGAGTCAGTTAATGGAGGATACTAGTTTAGAAGCTAAAAACGATAGTCCTGGAGAAAGCGTATTGAATTCAAGTTCATGCCCACCAATACTGCCAGCTGAATGTGATGTTCCTGGGGCTGATACCAGTGACCAACAAGAAAAATTGTCTCAGTTCAAGAGTCAGTTAATGGAAGGTACTAGTATAGAAGCTAAAAGGGATAGTCCTAGAGAAAGCGTATTAAGTTCAAGTTCATGCCCACCAATACTTCCAGCTGAAAGTGCTGTTCCTGGGGCTGATACCATCTTTCAACAAGACAAACAGACCCAGTCTTCTGGTCAAATAATAGAAGATACATGTTTTGAAGCTAAAAAAGACAGTCCTGGAGAATCGCACTCAGTGCTACCTGCTGTATGTCCTGTATCCGGAGATGATCCCATTTCTTCAAACGAACAACATTCTCATTCTCCAAATGCATTAATGGAAGAGACTGTTCTGGAATCTACAACACTTGAGGAGCCATTAATTCATTTGGAAAGGGATCAAGGTGATCATATAGTCTTACCTAAGTCACCACCACCAAGTATAGAAATTATGCAGCCCAATCACAGCCTGCTGCCTTCAGAAGAGGATGTGGCGATGTCATTGGATACGTTGGCTCAATCATCAGAATTTGATTATCAAATACCAAATGGAAAGTCAAAGAAGCCTCCTCCACCTCAGAACCATTTATTTGATGTTGTTGCCGCTCTTGACAAAAGCAGGGTAAAGACAGTTTTCTTGTTCTTGCCAAATTTACTCCTTATGCAGTCTTAATTTTTGCATAACACGCCGCCTTTGTACCACTGCAGCTGAGGAAAGTCACTGATCGTGTTAGGCCCCCAATAGGACCCAAGGTAGATGAAAGAGACTCATTGTTAGAACAGATTAGAACGAAAGTAAGAGCCAGCAACTTTGATATATTTTTTTCTTTTGACAGCAACTTTGGTCTTTTTTCTTTTGACAGCAACTTTGATCTTGTTCATGCTTTTTTATCCTTTTGTATAAAGTTTTTGTGTTTTGATATTTCAAAATATTGTTTTTCAGTCCTTCAACTTGAGGCCTGCTGTGGTTACACGACCCAACGTTCAGGGTCCCAAAACGAACTTGAGGGTTGCTGCCATTTTAGAGAAAGCAAATTCTATTCGCCAGGTCTATCTCTCTTTCTTTATTAAATTTATTCTATTAGGCATATGTTCTCTGTTATGTTTTGGTAAACCGCATGTGCTCTCCCCCTCTCTTTCCCTGCACCAACATACCACTTCTCTTCCAGGTAAACTGAACTAATGTCAATCATTGAAACAGGCTTTTGCTGGAAGTGATGAAGACGATGATGCTTGGAGTGATTGTTGAATTTACCACATAATGAAAAATATACAAGATCTCAGTGCCAGTAGATGTAAAAGGTCTTTATTCACTATATTGAATAGGAAGTTTACTTTAATATACAAGATTTATTATCCTACCGCGTGTTCATAATATACAAGATTTATTATCCTACCGTGTGTTCATATACGGCACTCTGGACAACACGTGTCCCCTCCCCGAGTCCTCCCAATTCACGTACAGTTTTGTAATAACGGGAACAAGCACCATCTGTTGCATTGATCCAGAGCATTTTACGGAGGTGAAACTCGCTTCAGTCAGAGTCAGGCTCAGCGTGTAAGAGATGTATCCATCCAGATCTATCAACCTATTAGAATTTTCTCTTCTTATGAGTATGTGTATATTTGTGTTGTGGTTGTCATTAGTAAATTCGTAATTCTGTAATAGCGGTAAGCTGATAATTGCCTGGTAACACCATGTAGTTCGTCTGTTTGTCTCCCATACACAGTATTATATATATGTATACATGTGAGTTTCAGTAGTATTTTTTTTCTTCTGTAATTGTATATAGACAGCATTAGAAAATTGAAACTTGTGAGAGGAAATTATAAATATATACTGAAGATTTGCAAACTCATTTCTCTTTAGCTGCTTGTGCATTAGCTACTCCTACAACTTTCTCTAGATCACGGCCTTGTGCAAATATATTTTTAGATGGATTAGGAACTTTAAAGTGAGAACTTAGGGAAGGTGATATCCAAAGCCAAGGCAAAAGTACCAGCAGCATCCCGTCAGCTTCAGAGGTGCAATCACACGCCGCAATGTCACTGATCATCTTTATGGTGGCATTGTTCCATTTAAGAATCATAAAAATCTTAGGAGAGGTGAATCCGTAGCACCTAGGCTCCTTCATGTAAGTGAAGGATCTCAGCTTTTGTTGTGATATTTTCAAAGAACTATACTTTCTCAACATGTGCTTGCGACAATTGCATCAGATCCTATTTTGTTTAATCACCTCTCTCACGGTCTCAAAAATCTGGATAAAAAAGTAAGTATGAACAAATTTCAATGTTATATTGCCCGGTGGACATATTTACGGAACTAATGAAAATGAGTAACATTCAATTTGAATATTTAAACTACAAGTTTTCCCATTTCCACTGGTTCCATTTTTTTAAATTAAAATTTTTCCATATAAAATCTAAAAATGGAGAACTAGCTCTAATGTGAACAAAAATAGAATTAGGACGGGAGATGAGCAAAAAAACGTATGAAATTGAGTGAAATTTTTATTGTCAGTCTCAGAAAAGTGTCGTTGGCTGTTTAAATTTAGAGTGAAGTTGTGGAAAGATGACATTATAGATGGTCGATTAAAATAATGTGAAGAGTTCACAACCACGAGTTAACTCATGCAAAATCGAAACAAATACAATAAAATTGATATCAAGGAGATTTATATGATCAAAAGATGACTGATCTGGATTGGGCCTACACTCGCCCTTCAAACGGGAAGTCCAAAGACATCCCAAGTTAGGGACCGTTGGGCAACTCTCCATCCGACCGTTGGAGGACGTGGCCCACGATCCCACGACAGCCATCTTAAACTGTCCTCCGGAAATCACGGGTCCAACCCTATTCTCGCAGAGTAGTTGACCAGGGGGAAGCCTACTTGCTGGACTCCACACACACGTAAGTCCTGACAGTTTCTATTATTGGGCTTCAACGTGGCCCAAGAGTGGGAACCTTGATCCAACGCTGGGGGTTATAAATACCCTCTCTCTCAAGAGAGTCAGGTATTCAATTCATCTCTCTAAACTCATACTTGCTTGCTCATTCCGCAACTTACTTTGCCATCAGAGTGTCTTGCAGGCACCCCCCATCTCATTCAACTTCTACCCGAGCCAACTGTGACGGTCCATCTCTGATCCGGTAAGATCAGTGGCGCCGTCTGTGAGAAACTTGCTTCCCTGTCTTCTATTCACTTGAGACCAAAGCTAAACAATCCCCGTCTGTCATGGCTGACCAGACTCTAGACAACATGAACGTCCGTAGCATCGACGTCAACAACAACACCGCCGACAACAATGTTGGCCTCGACAACGCCGGCACCACCAGCCACAACACATCCCCCGACGTTAATATGCCCGGGCCTTCTGACTACAGAGACGGAGCAACTGCTTCGTCATCATCACTGCCCCGTCGACTTGAAGATGATCAGCCACCTCCCCAGAACTACAAACACGTCCAGTTCCATGAGGTCTTCGTTCCCTCCGGGGCAGACGCCACAACCAGGGCACTGTTCGCGGCAATCAATCAAACCAACTACCTAATCTTCGCCCAGGGAGAAAGACTGAGGGAACTCGAAGACGATCAGAGGCCCCCAAGGAGACACAGGAGACCTCAATCTCCTCCTCCTCGACAAGCAGAGGAGCATCCCCAATCTCCCCCGCAGAGACATAGTCGGGACATCTCTCGAAGCCCGTCTCTTCGACCACTCGGGTGACGCCCGCCTTAGAGAGAAAACAACCCGTTGATGCTGGAAGGCGTGATCACGACCCCTCACGTCAAGAACGAAGGCCCCCTGGAGACAGGAACAGGGGAAACCACCAACAATCATACCGCCTGAGGACTGCTCCGCGCGACCAGGTCCACCGTGACCGCCACTACATCAGATCTCCGTCTCGCTCGCCCGAACGGAGTGACGAGGACGACCCCCGCGGTCCCTTGTCACAAGCTATCATGGAGGCACCCATTCCCCCAGGCATGGAGAAGCCTCCCCACCTAAAGGAATATGACGGCATCACCGACCCGATCGACCATATAGACGGGTTTAAAGCCATGCTACACTATCACAACATCGGGGGACCGATCAAATGCCGGTTGTTTCCCACGACTCCGAGGAAATCTGCGATGGACTGGTACAAAGGTATCGCCCCGGGTCAATTACCTCTTGGCGAAATTTGAAGAACCAATTCATCATTTCGTTGACTGCTTCACAATGACACCCGAAGACTGAAGCATCCCTCGAGGCCATCGTCCAGAGACACGATGAGACACTGAGGGAATTTATTGACTGGTTCAACCTGGAGGCCATCCAGGTCCCCTGCACGGACCACATGAAGAGGTACCTGCTCGAGAGAGGACTCCTCCCAGGCACGTAATTCAGAAATGCTGTAGGCATCAAACCACCCCGGACATTCGATGCCCTCCTCGAGAAGGCCAGAGCCTATATGGACTACGAGGAGAGAGAAGCGGCCAACAGATCCCGGGATCCCAGGAATCGCGGATCTACCAGTAATCTGCGACAAGACACCGCCCCTCCTCGACGAACTGGCGAGAAGAGAAGGGACGACAAACCTTGAGACGCCCGGGAACAAAGGGGACCCTCAGGGAGGTTCACTGAGTACACTCCGCTAACGGCTTCCTGCGAGCGCATCTTAGCAGAGTGCGTAAATACAGACTTCAAGGACGGCAACGTCAAGCATCCTCGCCCCGCTCCTGCTAAACTCGGGGTAGATCTAAGCAAGTACTGCCAGTACCACCGGAGCCACGGGAACTTGACCGAAGATTATGTCCATCTCAAGGACGCCATCAAAACCCTCATAAAAGGGGGGAGACTCGGGCAATATCGGTGCGGCGACGTCCCTCGCCGAGATGCCCGTGAAACAAGGGAAGTAGAAGAGGATGCCCGACCATCTGACGAGTCGGTCCCCATCCAAATCACGTTCTCCGTCACGAGACCAAAGGACTTATACGTCCCCGAACATGTGCAAGAGCCTCTGTCTATGCACAGCAGGTGGGAAAACTTCCCCTCCTCCATGGTCATCAATGGTGGAGGGTTTAATGACTTGACCATAAATTCAGCAAAGAGGAAGCTGGACAAACTGGTCGACGCGGCTCCCCCGCAAACGGTGACCTTCGAGAGGGTGAAAGGAAGATCAAAGCCGATCATCTTTTACCTCAAGGAACTTCTCGGAGGGCCCCTAATTCAGTCATCCCTCTTCTGATAAGGGCGAGAATGGACAACTTCGACGTCCATCGCGTCCTGGTCGACGAAGGGAGTTCCCTCGACGTGATGTACAACCAGCTGTTCAGAACCCTGCAGCTCGATGACTCTCACCTTTCACCGTACGTGGGGTTAGATCTGCAGGGCTTTAATGGTTCGACCTCCAAGTTGTGGGGGTACATAGAGCTTATGGTCACCTTCAGCGAAGACACCGCTACCAGGAAGGTCAAGGTGAGCTTCCTCGTCATCGACTGCCCATCCCTCTACAACTGCATCCTCGGGAGGCCGACACTGGCAGAGCTGACCGCGGTGCCCTCCATCGTCCACCTAAAGATAAAGTTCTACACCAAGAGGGCACGGGTCGCCACCATTCAAGGTGACCTGGAAGCCGCCTGAAGATGCTTCAACGCATCGGCCAAGGGACACATCACAGTCGACACTGGGGCACGATCCACTGAGAAAGTTGTAACTGCGCAACCAGAGCCTTAGCAGTCAGAGCCACAACCCGTCAGAGCAGAGGTACAGAGGGCCCCTCCAAAGGTCGACTCGATCTCGTTGGACACTCGCTTCGACCAAGATGAGCCCTCCAACAACGAGTAGGTGCCCCTCTGACCAATTCCGGATGGGGACTTTGAGCTCGTCCCTCTCGGTGAAGACACAAGCAGAGGGGTGAAGATTGGCACTAGACTTCCCGACTTAGCAAGAAAGTAGATCAAGGCCTGTTTGAGAGAGAATGCAGATTTGTTTGCATGGAGCACTGTGGAGATGTCCGGTATCGACCCTGAGGTCGCCTTTCATCAACTCGCCATTGATCCAGCTGCTAGGGCAGTAGTATAACGTGGGCGTAGGCAGTCTCCCGAGAAAGTGGAGGCTGCTGAAAAAGCTGTAAAAGACCTCCTAGAGGCAAATTTTATTTGTGAAGCCCGGTATTTGACCTGGCTGTCAAATGTTGTACTTGTTAATAAAAATAATGGAAAATGGTGAATGTGTGTTGACTATATCGATCTTAACCGGGCATGCC